TGGCCATGAATAAGGTCCACCGGTTCGACACGATCACATGCAAATGGGACAAGGGCCATACTCACTGGCATGGTCGCCCCGGCAAAAATGTCAAGAAAAAATTTGAGAGCAGAACACGATGCAAGTTGTTCGAAAATGCCAGAATTCTGAGAAGGTGCACGGGAGACTTCTACCTTCGATGCTGTATGAACAGAATCGGGTGGCTCCAATGACTCAGCCAGGTCCTGCAACTGTTGTGGAGGAACTGAATTATCGCTTTCCTGCTGCAATGGTCAGTGTGGTGCCGACTTGTGTCGGGCTGCTGTATGAAAACCTCCACACGGTTCTCCATTGGCCTTCGGTACTGGGCATTGGTGAGCAAAGCGACAAGTCTTACCAGACTTGCACTTATTCAAATTGAAGCGCATACAAATCCCTTTTCCGTCAGGCAATTTGCGAAGCCAAGCATTGTCCCATTTCAATTCCTTGGTGTCAGGCTTCGGCTGTTTGGGTGAGTCGTTACCTGGGCTGGCGGTCTTGGGCTTCTTGGGAAGCGGCTTTGGAAGATCAGGTCTGCGCTTGGGCGGATCCTGCTTCGGTTGTTGTACCGGACGAGGACGAGGTGCCAAGGAGGTATGAAAAACCTGCCTGCAGAAGGCCACTTCATTGAGGACATCATTGAGTGTCCACTTCGACTCATATAGCAGGTCTGTGACAGCGGACCATGCAACCCTGTCAGCATCCAAAATTTCCGACAACGATGGGGCACGCAGGTGCTGATCTCGTGGTTTTGCCAAAGCCAGTTCAAGGAACTTTGCATGGAAGCGCTTGAGGACCAGGAGGTGCGCAGAGCCCAACATAGCCAAAGCAACAGATAAAAGGTTTTGGAACTTGGCCAAAACAACTTCTGTAGGGGCTTGGTGATTGATGACTGCTTCAGGCTGTTCGTTGAGAACTGAGTCACCTTCAGTGAGCAGTGAGCGAAGCAGTTGGCGATCATTCCTGGGTCTGCGATGTTCAGCAAACGCTTGTTCATCTGCTTCAGATGTCCTGCTTTTCCATGGAATCCAGGTGAAGTTGTTGGTGTCAATCGCGTCCTTGAGGGTGCACAGAAAGGACAAAGACGGCATAGTCCCGGGCAGCAACAACTCACCTGGATAGTTCTGGCAAAACTCTGTTTTGAGTGCTTTGACATCTGCCACTGACAAACGTGTCTTAGTGGGTGGTGCTGTAGGGGCATCAATGGGAGTATCACGTCCTGACAGCACACACTTCGCAATGCACTCCTTGAGGACCCTTCTGATCGCTGCTGACTGCGGGGAGAATGTCTGAAAAGTCTCACCATCTGGAATCACACTCAAGTGTTCAACAAACTCCTCCATCTTGGATTCATCGTGAATTCCATGGGCAAGGAGTGCAATCGTCGTGTACCCAGCATGAAAAATGTGTTCAATCTGAATCGATGGCATGTGGCAGTCGGCCATCAACGATCTAAAAGACACAGGATCATCTAAGGCCATAGATTGCGAAGCCATGTCTGAACGCCCCACCGACACTTGGACGACAGAAAGCAATCACTGAAACTACAGAATAGGCCGAGGTAATGTAAACACATGTGAACATGAATCTGACCAAAAACAGTCAGTGAAATGTGGCATAAATTGATGGACATGGTACAATCCCGCGTGGATCATAAACCTAAACTGACTACCAGTAGATTGATAAATTAAGCCAAGCGTGGCTGGACCCTAGACCTGAGCCAAACTGACTGCGAGTCAAAAAGCCAGGTGCAAGCAGGCAACCCGTACAAGGGTAGCCAAGCGTGGCAAAAACCCAAGCACACTAAATCATCCCAGGACATGACTGGGATAAACTCAGCAATACCGCCCCTTTTGATCCAAGGCAGATGAATGCATGGGTCACTCTTGCGCGGCAGGCTGGCTAAGACTAGGTAGCTCCTCCATCAGCCGGTCAGCGGCCTGACCTCCAGCTCCAAGACGCACAGCTGTAATCAAGTCGAAAAGCATCGATCGAAGGTGGCGGAAGACCAAGTGATCCTCCGGGGTCAACAGTGGGGAGCTAGATAGGCCCCACTCCGTGACCACTGAAAGGGCTCCGGAGAGCTGGAAAACCAAAAGATGCGCCTGCTCAACGGGCAAAGCTAAAGTGAAGGTGATAACTGAACAGGGATGCGTCCTGTCAGGGATCCACCCAGATGGAGCTAGGTCCGCTTGGGCCTCATCCTGAGTAATCAGCACCTTCGCAGCCAGTGAGCAGAGGACTGAGATGAGCGTCCAATGGAATCTGGATGCCAGATGCTTCGCCACTGCTGCACATCCCGCCAAGCAAACTTCAAGGTGTGCCCTGTGATGATCATCTGAAGCCCACTCCCTGACAAAGGGGAGTGCAGAGTTCACCATAGCCTCTAACTTAGCGAAGTCAGTCATGGGTGGCAAGCGGCACCTCGAGACAAAAATGGCTGGCAGGGTACAACGTATATATAAGAAATATATGGACACATGTGCTGAAAGATGTGCGGAAAATGAGACCCGTGCAAAGGTACCAATGGAAAAATGGGTACCAAAAATGTCACAAGTGCACGCAGCGGGATGCACTGATATCGTGACTGCACTGTTTTGACATGCCTAGTCCGCGCTCAGTCAAACATCTTAGAGCAGGCTGGTCTCATGCACAGCCTAAATTTTTTCTGGGAATGTTTCAGCTGGAATAATTTCAGCATCCCAGGCTGCACGACGGACATTGCAAGCAAACTTGAACGATTTTCGCACTTCCCCAGCATCCACTGTTACCACCCTGTAAGGATCAGATTCATCGCATACAGCGGCCACATGAGCAATTGATGACGTTGTATTCAAAAGAAAGAGACAATCAGCTGAGGCTGCTTGGATCACTGGAACCTCTGTGTCATCCTGAAGCTCAGGCGCCGCCCCAGCATCAGACTCACCAGAGTCGGTGTCGGCCAAGTCATCAGAATGGGGGAGGCACAATTGTGTCTGAGCCTGTGATGTGACTTCCTCTGAGGGTGGGGCCACAGATACTGGTTTGTCCAAAACAGGTTTAGCACCACCACGAAGAAGTGGAATCACTGGCCTGAAACCTGAAGCAATGCGCTGAATGATCTGGTACTGTAACTGTATGGCTGGATGTACGTCGTCACGGCCGTACAAGGCCACGTTGGAGCGAGCGCCTGACTGGCGATGATGGCCCTGGGCCATTCTGGCTTCCTCTGACGCTCCAATTTGTCGTGCCCAACTAAGTAAAGTTACCTTCGGGGAGTGCACGCCGATACTCAAGACAGACGCATCTTTGTTGGCCTGCAAGAGAAGTCGTCTCAACAGCAAGACTCCTTGTGTCCGAGGCATGGGTGCCGTGAACATGGGGTTATCCACATTCGGCCCACACATGGGCAGCAAGAAATCTGGAGTGAAATCCGGAAATACTTCCGCTGTCCGTTGCAGTGCTTGACGCACCAAGTTGAGCCACTTCATAGACCAAGTGACCTGTGTCGATGTGGCCAAGAGCCCTGACTTGACGAACGCAAACGGCATACCGCGTGACGTCGTCTTGGTACGGACTGCGATGCCTCGGATAACATCAACGTCCTCTGTGAGTGCACTTGGGGTAACCCAAAGTGCGTCACTCCACCGCAGAGATGACCAGATCAAAACAAGCAGTGAGCCCATCAGTAACCTGTCCGCAGCTGTGCCCAGCTCCTTAAGAATGCAGGACTCCAAGTACACAACAAAGCTCAACGGCAGTGGGGCGGCTTCTTTCCTGACAGAGATCTCTGATGGAATTGTGTAAGCCCGAGTAATCGGTGCCTGTAAGGACACCAAGAGTGCCGGGAACCCTGCATACTTCGAGACCCACGTGAGAGCTCGCGATTGCGCCGTGGCAACACCAAGTGAACTCCTCTTAGAGGACACCTGGAGAAAATCTGCAAGGAAAACTGTCGGCGGGCTGTAAGGACATACCTGATGGCAATGACAAAACTCCACCCACTGTGACCAGCCCTTGAGATATGCCGCTAAAGTAGACGGTGCAAACTTCGCAACAACCTTGATCAAGTGAGCTTCTTGGTTGGGGCTGTCCTGCGTGGACTTGATGAGCTCGCTGTTGGAACCAGCCTGTTTCAGAAGCTGAAGCCAATCAATGTGGTGTTGGGTTCTCAGCTGCTGATGTAAGGCATGCATTGTAGTGGAATCTGCTATCGAAGCTTTCACAACATTTGAAGGCACATCAAGGACACCAGACAGGAAAATTGAAGAACTGTGCGGCTGCATTTGAACGATAGATGCACATCCTGCTGACATAGGGCGATCATGATTGAGCTGACACTGATAAGACCGCGCGTGGACACCCAATGTCGATGGTGGAACATACTGCAGACCTGGAGGATGTGCATCCCACTCCACTTCCCGACGAGGTCTCAGTGGAGGTGGCTGCAGGCCACCCATGTAGAGGGGTCCATTGCTATATGGTTTGTAATGTGCACCAAGTCCTTGACCATCCCACCTGTTCAAAACAGACTTGTAAGATGTCGCCGAAGCTTTTGGAGATGGATCAACGTAACTCTGAGCCGGGTCACGTCTCCACCGTTTGACTCTAAACAAGGGTTCAGATGGAGCAGGTCTATTAGGCTGGAAAATGGAAATGCCTCTGCCACAACCTGACCCAGGCAAAATAGTCTGGTCACCCAGTAGCTCCAAAGGGGGATCCATGACTACGAGACCGGCGGGTCAAAAAGGTTTGAACCAGAAATGCCAGCAAACCAAAGAAGTGAAAAATGTGACACCTGAGTGCAAGCATAGGCAATGCATGTTGGCTATCAGCGGATAGACAATGGAACAAACACCGGTCCACACAGCCTTTTGCCAAGCACAGATGGTGAAATGTGAGCAGAGCTGTTGTCTGCCGAAAATGATCCGAGACAAAAAATTGACCAGGCGTGGTCCAGATGGGCACAAAGTCAAAACCGTCGCCATGTCCAAGGACTGTCGTCAATCTTCTTCTGATCGTGGTGCAATCCAGGACTGGGGCGTCGATGGATGAAGACGGTCAGCAAGTTCAGGATTGACCTCCATCCAGTCTTTTGTGACGGTTGCAAGATTGTGGAACAACAATTCCTGGCATCGCCGCATCTTCGCAACCTCAGCATGGAGAGAGTCAACTTCTGACTGAACCTGGTAAAGGGCATCAGCCAGGTCGGCAAATGCCATTGGCTTCACCCGAACGTCCACCTTGGCAACACGTCCATCTCCGTGGCATTGGACTATGTGATCGGGGAAGGCACGAGTCATATGAGTGTAGACTTGTGCGTACAGGCCCTCTGGCAGGAAGACGATGTACTCGTAATCCTCATTAAAGGCCGATTCCCAGTCTGGCTTATACTTGCGCCACTGCGATGGGGTCACGTCGACCTCCAGGTCACGAGGAACTTGAAGAGGAAAAAGTGTCCTCCCAGGGTCCAACACCAAAGATTCCAGGGCAAAGAACCGGAAGAGTCGCTCAATTGGCACCACCGAATCTAAACCGAAGGTAATCTGAAAGTTGAATTGGGCTGGGGGATACGACAACTGCAGCCCCTGCATCGCAGCCAGTACGGACTGGAATAAGTGCCCCGTTTGAGCCCACTGCCAAACTGCGAAATGACCAATGAAGAAAATGGACAGAAGTGAAAATGAACGGCTCAGTGCAACAACATGGAATTGAAAATCGAATTGAAATACGCAAAAGGGCACTCTTTTTCCTCCGACATGCGATGTCAGATATGAGCGTTGAAAATATCAGCCCCTGCTTGATGTGAGCTGAGACTATAAGACCCAATGCAATGTGACACGGGCGCGGTCACATATAAATAGACAATTGATGTCCAAATGACAGCGGCGGCATCATGCATGAGCAAAAAGGTCAGTACAGCAGCACACCGTCAGTTAAGGCCAGGGTCCCCAAGTCCCGGGGGATCAGAAGATGCTGCACCACCAAGCGTCGATGGGTTGGCCAATGTGTCCTCCAAAGCACGGGCTAAGTAAGCTCTGGTCATCAGCCATGACCCACGGGCATACTCAGCTGAATGATGAGGGACTGAACGCGAAGCTTCCAGCCTCTGATGAATTTGCAGAGCCAGGTGGTCAAGGGCATGCATCTCATTAGACGTCAGCCTATGAGTGGAAACAGACCTTGCGAGGTCCAATACCGATCCATCGTTTTGAGAGTTGCCTGTACCCTGCTCTGAGTCTGCATCATCCGCGTCCATCGTCTCCTCAATGGCAGCTGGAGAGCCGAAGTCAGGTGGGGCTGTAACCGCTTCGGAAGGACTGGCTGGTGAATAGAGGGCAATATGAATACCATGAACTCTGCAACGATGATGCCCACCATGCTCCAGCATTTGTGACACCTGGTACAATGAGAAACCAGGTGGAAATGTCACAGAGCAAGATTCCACCACAGGTGGAGGTAAAGATCCTGGAACAAGATATTCCAAGGACAACCTCCAATCTGAGCTATCAAACATGGCATCCCTCAGACCGCGCAATGGGGTACGGTGGGACATGGCCAGAACAACCAGATCGGGTTATTCGAGCCGAAAGCTGCCAGGCGGGCAAGATAAACGAAAGCACAGCGGTGCATCATGGAAATGACATCAACGGAAACGTGAGTGGAAGGCAGCGGCCACCCAAAAACAGCACATGCACTTTTGAACTGCCAAGATTGAAGGTCCAAGCAAATATCCGAAGCAGCCAGCCACCCGAAAAGTAAACAGTACAGGAATGGCAGGTGCTTCAAATACCAAGATGGAAACGGATCTGTGCAATGGCTGCCTCAGCGTCACCCAGACGTCGTTCCAAGGTAATGATCCTGTCAGCTGACTGGGCCGCAAGCTCCATGAGTTGCATCAATGGCAACTGGTGCACAATCAAAATAGTCTCCATGCGGAAGTCAAAGGGGACACCTGCAGGTACCATAGAAAGATGATTGTCTGTTGCAGTTGCCACGGCAGCCATGGATTCGTACACTTCGAGGTCAGCGACATAGAAATGGTACTGGGATGTAGAAACAATGTCGTCGTCCCAAGGTACCCAGTGAGTAGGAAGGTCGATGAGGTCAGGGTCGCCTCCGAAGCCAATCGGCCAAGCAGTGGGGTAGATGATCTCATTAATGCTGCAGTCCAATTGATCCAGGTTGAATGGAGCCATGATTGAATTGATGATAGACTGCTGGAAAGGTGCACCAGGTTGGAACTCCAACGTAAAACGGATCTCCTGAGGAAGAACACGGCGAGGAGCATTCATGATAATCACAGTGATGACAACCACCAGAAAAAGGAAACCGAGGCAAAAGCCACACCCAGTGCAAAACCAGAACAGAAGGCACCAATAGACCACTTGGGCAGATGCACCGGTGGTGGATGAAGAACCACAGGTCGATGCAATGCAGCCTGCCCCTTGTCCAAACAACGCCTGGACTGGACAGCCATGGAGAAATACGATATGCAAGCTTGAAGCAAAACGGCAACGGACCGACGAAGTTCCGGGTCCTACCTGTGAACAACTATGTACAAGTACAAACCACTAATTAGCCGTTTGGAACATCCACCTTTTCTGGACAAGCCGAAACAATTGGGGACGTGGGATTGTGATCCCCGATACCAAAGTGAATTAACATGTATATATGTATATATACACATAGAGAGAGAGAGAAGGAAAACTCACCATGAAAGGAAATCATGTCGTGGAATGCCATGCATATAATTATATATATATATATATGGAACCATTAATGTACTGGAGTTTGAGTTACCAATCCCAAAGATTCGTTGGCATGTGACAACTGTCAAAAAAAAAGGGGCCTGGCAGCCTGGTTCTTTTTCGGCCAAGCCGCTTGTGGTTTCATTCATGTTCCATAAGATAAATGTACTCTTTAAAACTGGAGCGCAATCAGTCAGTCAACTATACTATTCCTTATTTTTTCAAAAAAATGTAGATCTTCACATGGATGATAACGATTAAAGAATACATTACCTATATTATATTTACCTATAATAATTACATATAGGTAATAATATGATAGATATTATCTATGTATCATATACGTATATATATATATATATATCTATATATGTGCAGGTTTCCTAAAATGGGGGTACCCCCAAATCGTCCATTTATAGATGGATTGTCCATGAAATAAACCATCCAGCTAGTGGGGTACTTCTATTTATGGAAACCCCCATCTGGGATTTCCCATCATTCAGATAATGAGAAAGAACATATATTACAATCATTACATATAATATCATATGAGAAATATTTATAGAATATGATAGATGTATTGAAGTATTGCCTATATTTAATATATATATATTATTGTATTACATTATCGAAGGAAGTTTAGAAGAGAAACTTCCGACAATATGGACAGTTGAAAAGCAGAGGTGAGAAGAGTCAGAAGAGACAAGATCAGAAGAAAGAAGATGCAGATGCGCGAAAAGGTAGGAAAGTCGCGAAACACTGTGTTTTTCCAATGATTTGTGGCTCCGGTGGGTCGAAAAGTAGGCTCGCTAAAGCGGCGGGTGCGGAGACAGCTGGCCAAATGAGAGATGAAAAGTTGCACGCCGTTGTGGCGCGAAGCACATTTCCAAGTCAAAATGTACAAAACACACCAGGTCGGACCACTTTTGGAAGTTGCGATGTCGAAAAAGTGCACGCCGTTGTGGCGCGAAGCACATTTCCAAGTCAAAATGTACAAAACACACCAGGTTCGGACCACTTTTGGAAGTTGCGATGTCGAAAAAGTGCACGCCGTTGTGGCGCGAAGCACATTTTGAAGTCAAAAGTGTAAAAAACTGAGGGTTTTGAGCCTTTTTTGACGTGAAGCAGCAGCAACAACAACAACAACAACAACAACAACTACTACTACTACTACACCACTACACAACAACTACAACCACACAACAACTACAGCTACAACTACAACAACAACAACTACTACAACTACAACTACTACAACTACAACTACAAAACAACTACAGCTACAACAACAACAACAACTACTACTACAACAACAGCAACAACTACAACAACAACAGCAACTACAACAACAACTACTACTACTACAACTACAACTACAACTACAACTACACTACACAACAACTACAACCACACAACAACTACAACTACAATAACTACAGCTACAACTACAAAACAACTACAGCTACAACTATATGACTGCAACTACACTACACTAATTACATTACACCACAACTACAACTCCACTACGCTACAACTACAACTACAGTTGCAGTACATCACACTACATCCAGCAGTTGTGGGTGAGGTGACCACTGCAACCATTGCAACCATTCCAGCAAACACAACTCCAACCACCTTTCGGTCAATCAGTGGATTCGCTCTGCCATCCATGATTCACAACAACCAACGTCTCCTATAGGTTTCCTATTTTTGAAACTTCCGCCACCGCCTTGTGCGGTACTACTGGTATCATGTCATATCATATAATATTAAATTATATTATATATCATATTAATTTTATATATTATATCATGACATATCTCTCATAATATATGAAAAATAGTTTATCCCCTTTTTTACGGTGCCAAGTTGCGGACTTCACTTTGGGCAAGACTTCTTCCAAGGCGCTCTGCGCTGCGTCCAGGGATGCCTACCGGTTCGACTCACCGTGTTTGGGAACACCCAAACGGAAAAGCCATGGGACAATATGGCGAAAATCCATGGCGAAAACCCATAGATTTGATGATTTCATGGCGAAAATCATCGAAAATCCATGGGATCTATGTATGATTGGACACTTGGATCTAGATATTGATATAGAATTGGAGAATTTGGGTGTATCCAACGGACGAAATAAGGGAAGAATTTCGTGGAATGGTGGTATTTCATGGGGAAATCGGGGATAGACCACCAATGATCTAATAATTGGTTTTGTCCAAAGAAAACACAAAATGATGATCAACTAATGGATTGCCATGAACATATGACCTCAAGAAAAATCATCAAATAAATGGTGCCCCAAGCTCGCTGGATGGTTTCATGGAAAATCCGTCTATAATCACCTATAAATAGACGTACAAATGGGGTACCCCCATGACTTAGGAAATCTCCACATATAATTATATATATATATAATATATACATATTATAATATCTATCATATCATTACCATGAAGTTGGAATGCGAAACGAGGAAAACGAGAAACGCGCCTTTTCATTGTCGCTGGACCACCTCAGAAATCGGCCAAGCATGGCTGGAAAATCCCTCCGAAATGGAGGTTTTTCCATGGGAAAAAATGGAGTTTATTTTTTTTCATCGGAAAATCATGGGAAACTCAGTGGGAAACCCAACCAACCTATCGCTGAAATCGACTCTTCCACTTGGCCATGGACATTTGTCAGTCCCTGCAACACCATTCATCTATGGACATTTGTTGGGCCTTCAGCTCCACGGTAATCCGTGTGGAAAAAAACTGAGAAGTGTCCCAACAAAACTGAGGATGTACAAAACGAAATGATGAACATGCTAGAACCAACTGATAAATAGGACATACATCAGCTTTACATTAGCACTCCAACAACATACCCATCATATTCCATATGATTGTTGTTTTACCCCCACAGGGAATGATGAAGAAAAACCATGTTCCCTCCAACCCGGATGTTGCTCCACACCTCAAGAGAATCATCATCATCATCATCACCAGCATCATCATCACCAGCATCATCATCATCATCATCATCATCATCATCATCTTTCTGGTGCTTCATAGGGAATGGGGGGAATGATCAAAAGGATCCAATCCATATCCTCAACTTATCTTCATAAAGGGATCAAAATTTGCCACCCCCTCTGACTTTTTTGTTGATGATAATAATAACATGAACTTATCTTGTTGAGGGATCAAAATCCGCCACCCCCTCTGACTACTACGTTGACAGGGATCATTACATCATATCTTCCTAAAGGATCAACAATTGGCACCCCCTCTGACTTATATGTGATGTAATATATGATATATGTGCTATGTACTAGTATATACTTCGGCCACTTCTGATTCCGACGCGGAGCAACGTAGGGGTTGCAGCGAACATGTTTAATATAATATCCCTGTGACTGCTGATTCATACCAACATCATATCCAGGTATCACTGTTTATTTAGACCCATATCCAGAAATCATGAAAATCACCATCATATATGTAAATCCCCCTCATATTTCTCTTCATATAGTGTCTTCATTCTATCCAATGTATTATTGCTCAACCATGCATGCTTCTCTTCACCCATTCGCCAAAAAAAATACCCAGGGGATGTGTCCCACATCGCACCATATGACTGGACACATGATGATACCCAGGGGATAATCCCATGAATTCAGCGCCAAGAGATGTTGTGACCAACCAGTGACCAACCAAAACTTTGGAATAAAACCAACAAATATATGGGTATTTACAAATGAATACTGTATTCATCCATTTAAATCCTATGGAAAATCCCATTACAAACAAAGGCAACTCACCGGAGGGGGTATATCCCATTCATTTCACTGGGTTATTTCATAATATGGTTCCTACTTAGTAACTGGGTTCCACACTTATCCCACCGTCATCCCCATTTTATGAGCATCATATGCTCATAAAATGCTTGGCTTCATTCCTGGTAATAGATAAATATCGTTCATATCATCACCATATTCCCATTGGTGGTTAAATCGCATCAGACCCCCGTCCATGCCCGTATGTGTAGGTGATTCTGATTTTACCATGTAAAGTCCCACCTGCCCAAAGCAGGAAACACAAAGAACAAGACGAAAAGAACTGCGATCCCAGAAGAAGGGCCAAACAAACCCCTGCATACTGGATATATCAGGCATTAAATCAACATGAAAATGGACAACCAACTCACCCTGAACATCCTGAAATCTACACCGCAAGAAATGACTGTCTTCAAGGTGCTTGCAGCGCCACTCCCTGGCAATGTGATTAAACCTGGGGCGCCACGAAGTTCGGGAGATGATGAAACATGGCCAAAAAGTGGGGATTCTACCAACGAAAAAGTGGGAAGATGGCGATTTAACCGACAAAAACCTTGGGAAAATTGAGGATTTAGCCAACCCAACAGTGGGACATCGGGGGCGATTTCACCAAGCCAACTAATGGGATTCAACATGGCCCAGATTTGGCACAAACAACCAGCATGGCGGTTTCCATGTTGAAGACCCTCATCAATTTCAGTATGCCCTGTCCAGGTGCAGCATCATCTTCCCCTCAAACGGAGAGATGCTTCACTTCGGGGGCAAAATGTTCCAAACATATTTGTAAGCTGCTGCCTTAAAGCCGGCTTCCCGGCTACCGTCATGACTCGCGGGGGTCTAGGTCTTCACGGACAGGTGTCGTGATGAACTGTCATGACGACGCTTTGTGCGTTTGATGTTTTTTGTAACTTTTGCTATTACTATGACCGCATATAAACTCTCCTTTTTGCATTGAAATGAATCCAAACTATGTTTGAAACGGTATCTATTTAATGCGCCGCATGCTCACAGAAAATGATGAAATACCAAATCTGCGTTTAAGGCAACCTACCCGGCACAGTCATGAAGTACAGGGTCCTGCTTCCTCATGAAGAGGGTCTGTTATGAGAATTCATGAAGACACCGCTTTCGTTAGGTAAAAAACAACTGTTTTTCTAAGCTTGGGCTTAAAAGAATTGAAAATTAAAAGCCCACAGCCTATGAAACATAAAGTATGATTCGGACCGCCGTCAGCCGCTATCCCTGCTTCGGTCATTGAAGTTCCGGTCATGCATCAAGCAATCAGCCACTGCAATTTTACGATGCGCTTGCTCAAATGAGCATATTAGTCGTACTTTTGACAGGTTCGAAGCCGTGCGCATGGAGCTTACAACTGAGAATCACGGTGATCACGTGAACGCACTACATATGCCCAGGATTAGGAACGAACAACTAATCACGCTGCTACGAATGAGATGTTAGATGTTGCGTTGCTTTCTGTAAACATAACAGACTGTGGGCAAATGGTCCAAGAGTTTGATGTTACATGGTGCCCCGTACACGGTCATGAATGTATTATCTGGTGAGCTGCCAGTTCTCCGCACAGGCAGCAGGATCAATGTTTTCATTGCCCACAGTGACACTCGTTACATGTCATTGCCCAAAGTGACTGGTGACGCAAAACCGATGGAAAATGCACTATGACATGCATTCTCATCTGCAGAAAGAAAAAACTACAATCTATTTACATTATTTACTGCAAATGCACACTAGATCAATTAACAACTGACAACGAAAAAACACAAACCATTAAAAAGCAAACACGCAAATAACACAAACAACAAAGTGTGACAACAACGGATGAAACAACAAATCAACACACAACAGCTCAACGAACAACAAATGAAGAAAACCATCTTACCGACAACAAACAACCATCATATGACAAACACACCCACCAACAAACACGTCCACCCACCCCCACCGAACACCACCGCAACCACAATTACAAATCCTACCGCCACCGCAACCACCACCACCATCACAAACACAAAAACTACCACCACCAAGACTACCACCACAAAAACCACCACCACAAAAACCACCACATAAACCACCACCGGCACCACCACCACCACCACGCCCACCACCCACCACCACGCCCACCACCCACCGCCACCACCATAACCACCACGACGACCACCACCGCAACAACAGCAACAACAGCAACAACAGCAGCAGGAGCAACAGTAGCCAAGAACAACAACAAGAATAGCAAGAACAACAAGAACAACAACAAGAAGACCAACAGCAACAACAGCAGCAAGAGCAACAGTAGCAAGAGCAGCAACAAGAACAACAAGAACAACAAGAGCAACAACAAAAACCAAGAACAAGAACAACAGCAACAACAACCACATTAGAAAGCAACCGGTTGTTTATTCAATGGCTCATGACGCTGCATGTCGTTCAGAGATCATTTTTTTGTGGAGAAGCGGAGAAGCAAAAGGCTTTTAGGTCCAGACGCATATGTGCACGTGACACACTGCTAATTATCCAAGTAGGGCCCCGGGAATTCCAAGCAAAGTAATTTCCATCCAAACCAGTAAGACTTGGAACAATGCCGATCATCTCTTGAAGTGGCTGGGAAAAACAAAGCCGCCGATCAATGATGGTTAGTCCGTCCCTTTTTTTTACTTCGCAGACCAGTGTGGTTTGCGCTTTCCTGAGTGTGAGTGGATGGGCTAAGAGCCCACTTGCTTGGTGTTAGATGGTTTACAAACTTGTATCCAATGATCTTGCCATCATTTACCAGAGAGCTGTAGACTAATCCCACTGGCTGACCTACTGCCGCTGGCTGACTCCACGTTGGCAAACGAATAAGCTTAGTGTGAGTGCTTGCGATTGTTACTACTTTTTCCACGCAATGAGAAAAATGATGGTGGCAATGGTAGTGGAGTGGCGCAGTCAAAAAAAAGTGGTGAGTCGTGAATGGTTGACTTGCGGCTGAGGTGCTGAGGAATGTCGCTGCTACACGGCAGCAGCAGAAGCAATGGCAGCAACGGTGGCAAAACCCACAACGACCACAGCAGTGGCATATGGCGGCGGTGATGATGACAACCGCCACCATCACAAGGACGCCCACAATGGCCCACAAATACCACCGACTAGAAAAGAGGCTATACGGCGCAAAGTGCAGATCCCAGAGCCTGTCAGCACACTGGCCCACCAGTGCCAGAGGCAAAAGGTGTAGCGTCTAAGGTCGGTTGTTCTCATTGATGCGTTTTTTTGTCAGTGTTGCTGCTGCTGCTGCTGCTGTTGCTGTTGCTACTGATTCTGCGGCTGCTGTGTTTTCTGCCGCTGTGTGTTGTTGTTGCTGCCATTGTTGCAGTTGCTGCTATTGTTGGCTGCCACTGCTGTGGTCGTTGTGACTGTTGCCACCGTTGCTGCCATTGCTTCTGCTGCTGCTGCTGCTGCTGCAGTGTAGCAGCGACATTCCTCAGCACCTCAGCCCCAAGTCAACCATTCACGACTCACCACTTTTTTTGACTGCGCCCTCCACTCCACTACCATTGCCACCATCATGTTTCGCATTGCGTGGAAAAAGTAGTAACAATCGCAAGCACTCACACTAAGCTTATTCGTTTGCCAAAGTGGAGTCAGCCAGCGGCAGCACGTCAGCCAGTGGAATTAGTCTACAGCTCTCTGGTAAATGATGGCAAGATCATTGGATACAAGTTTGTAAACCATCTAACACCAAGCAAGTGGGCTCTTAGCCCATCCACTCACACTCAGGAAAGCGCAAACCACACTGGTCTGCGAAGTAAAAAAAGGGACGGACTAACCATCATTGATCGGCGGCTTTGTTTTTCCCAGCCACTTCAAGAGATGATCGGCATTGTTCCAAGTCTTACTGGTTTGGATGGAAATTACTTTGCTTGGAATTCCCGGGGCCCTACTTGGATAATTAGCAGTGTGTCACGTGCACATATGCGTCTGGACCTAAAAGCCTTTTGCTTCTACACAAAAAAAATGATCTCTGAACGAAATGCAGCGTCATGAGCCATTGAATAAACAACCGGCTGCTTCCCAACCAGACAAAGCTGATAATCATCCCGAAAAAAACAGAAAGACGTACCAATATTGAATTTGAAACTTCATTTTGGCAATGTTTTCTGCTCGTGTCTCAGCCTGTCTCTGATGAGTTTTGCCCTGATTCATGTCTTGATATGTCATGATGTAGCCTCAATAAGAAACAACAACACTTGCAGACATGTCCTGACGACACCTCAGGAAACCCCTCCAGATGGACTTAGACTTAGAGAAACCCCTACTAGACGACATGCCAGAAAAATGTTCCCGGCGACATGTCAGGAAACACTTCCTGACGACATGTCGTGACCACGCCCCTGATGACATAAAAGAAACTCCTTGCTGACAACATGCCTGGAAAACCTTCCTAGCACATGTTATGAGCCCCGACTTAGTGACAAAATGTCAAGAACGCCTTCCTGACAATGTGTCCGGAACCCCTTTGGGACAACATGTCATGAGCCCTTTCTTGACGACAACATGTCAGGAACCCCTTCCTGACAGCATGTCAAGACCCTCTTCGTGACAACATGTCATGAGCCCTTTCTTGACGACAACCTATCAAAAAATCCTTTCCTGACAGCATGTCAAGAACTTCTTCCTGACAGCATGTCATGAGCCCCGTCTTGACGACAACATGTCAGGAACCCCTTTCTGACAACGTGTCCGGAACCCGTTCCTGACAACATGTCAGAAACCCTTTCCTAACGGCATGTCATGACCCCTTCCTGACGGCGTGTCAAGAACATCTTCCACACAGCACGTCAGGAACCCCTTCCGGACAACATGTCGGACCCCCACCTGAAGGCATGTTTTGAACCCTTTCCGAGGGACGTGTCAGGAACCCCTTCCTGACGAAATGTCGTGTTCCTGTTAAGAACCCTTTCTGGTGAAATGGTCGGAACGTGCTCCTGACAATATATACATATATATATATACATATATATATATATATAGATATAAATAAGTAAACAAATATATGAATATAAAACTTATAATATATACATATATGTCAGGAACCCTTTCCTAACGACATGCTTTGAAACCCTTCCTGACGACATGTTTAGAACCCTTTCCTGACGATATGGTATGAACCCCTTCCTGGCAACATGTCATGAGCCCTTTCTGGACCACAACATGTCAGGAACCCCTTCCTGACAATATGTCACGAACCTCTTCCTGACAACATGTCAGGAACCCCTTCCTGACGGCATGTCACGAACCTCTTCCTGACAACATGTCATGACCCTTTCTTGACGACAATATTTCAGGAACCCCTTCCTGACGATTTTTCCGGAACCCTTTCCAGACAACATGACGACGTGACATGGCATGGACACACCCTTTTTTTTCTTGGAAATAACTTTGTAACATCATGTTCCTGTGACTTTGTCATATGCTCCGTGAGACCGTGAGGTGTTCTTTGACACATCACTGCCCGAAACGGCCCGAAAACGTAATTTGAGGCCATGAGCCGTGGCCAAATTTTGTATTGTGAAAGTTACCAGTTGTGCACCTGGTGCTACACAGCCTGAAAAAATACAACGTAGGCTTTGCTCACAGCATGTCACGTTTCAGTTCCCTTTTCCTGTAAAAATATGTTCGTTTCCAAGGCATCTAATTGCACCCTCGAATCTCTACACATGCGCTTCTTCTTGCCATATGATTTGCCATGCGTTCTTACAAGAGAGTTTTGTTGAATCAGCGCGAACATGTGCTGTGGTTTGTGGATTTTGATGTAGGGCTATCTTTGTGTTGATGATGTGATGATGCCGGCCTAATATTTCCGCATGCATTGAAACCCAAAACATGCAGAGATAAAGTTGGCTAGTGCTCAGCTTCAAGGAAACACATGCAAACAAGCGTGCATAACGATTGGCATGTTCAAAACGTAAATGGATATATGCAACAGCAAACCTAGATCTTAGGGTCTTATACAAATATCCGTTTTGGTGGAGCTACATTTTTCAATCATGAGGTTGCTGAAGTGGTGGGCTCGGTTTGGGGGCGCTTCATTTTTCAATCAGGGGATCATTTGCCAAAAAAGTGGAAGATGTGATGGGCTCCGTTTTGCGGTGCATGTTTTCTCAACGGTATCCTTCTAGTTGACCCAGTGAGGTGGAGTCTCTCCAGAATGCGAGAAACCAATGTGAAAACGGTGGCCAAAGCCCAGCAATAATTCTGAAAGGCGAAGAACTCATGAGTAATTGCACGCTTGGTGAAAGCCTGGCTTCATGTTCCGACTCAGCCATTTGATGCATTCTTGTCCTCACTGTGTTGAGGCTACTGGCGTGTGCCACAAGCAAAAAAGAGTGTGATACCAAAGCCCGTCCAGTCTAAAGCCGGCAAGAGCGGAGAAAGGCAAATATTTCTGCCGTGCCCCACAATCGTTGCTGATCACCTGTGATCTGAAGGATGTTTGGCCAAATTCAAACCTCTTATGTCGACTATGTTACTTTCCTCTTGTGAAAAACACTGCTGAAGAAACCATTGTAGAGTGTAGAGAGAAACTCCAAACTTGTTTCTCTGCAGTGATGAGATGAACTCTGGCAACTTGAAGAATCTTTCTGACACTGCATAAAGGAGTTGGCTTTTATTGCCCAAACGGTTCCCCGTGTTGCGTCAATTTGCTGGTTTGAAACAACGCGGGCACACACACACACATATATATATGCTACTGTTTTTCCATCTATCAGCAAAGCGGTTTCTTCCTTGCAGGGTCCCGACCACTATAAGTAATTCCTCGTTCCACAGGAAATTTCACTATCAAACACGTAATATTTACATTATACACCGTTTTCTACACCCCAGCCAGCCTGTTGGATGTAAAAGTTGAACCAAATCCTTTGGAACAGAGCCCCGCGCAATGTCAAACATTGCAGATGCGAAAAAACATAATAAAAAGAAACTGTCCCCATTTTTGCTGCTCTAAATATATATATATATTATGTATATATATGTTATGTATATATATATATACACACATAACAACTCAGGAAGTGCAAATGAAGTTGCACACATAACAACTCAGGAAGTGCAAATGAAGTTGCTGAGGAAAAACAGTTTCCTTTTTTGTGTGCATTCTCGCAGCATTTTGGAAGCAACATTCTTAAATGTTGCAGATGCGAAACCAAACAAAAAGACAAACAACTATGTATTGTCATGTATCACAAAATTCAGCTGGTGATAAACACATATATTGATTGCATTTTTTCCTATTTTCCAACCAAAAAAATCTGGGATCTATCTTGTGAGCCACTTTTTTTGGGGGAATAATAAGGAAACCTCGAAAAAATAATCAAACATAGCAGGCGCGAAAAACAAAAAGTCAATAATCACAAATTTGGTTCCCATTTTTTCAAGACATAGGAAACATCAGCAGGCGAAAACAAACCTGCATTTTAAAAAACAACACGTTTTTTTCTTTAAACTTTACTGTCACCGATCGTCGAAAAAATGATACTTAAAGAAACAATGGTCAACACAACCCCTCTCGTCAAGATAGGGTACCGTTTGCCCGGCAAACCCCGCAGCAGCTTACAACATGCAGCATGACTCGATGACATCTTTAATATTCAAACACGGGGGCATGAAAAATAAACAATAAATACAAATTGACGGTGAAAAAAAAACTATATAATTAAAAAAACATACAAAAAAAATGTTCAATCACAATGTTTGTCGACGTCCACAACTTTGTATATTAAGGTTGTGTGGGAGCCCCACGAACTCTGTTTTAAGTTATATGGAAGCCCCGCGAGCTCCCGTTATACTAGCTAGCCCGCGACCTCCTCACGGTACCTGTTAGAAACAAAACCTCCCAGCATCTTACTAACCAAACATACACAAAACCGGAAACCAAATGACCCCTAGTTCGCATGTTTGACCGTCCGTTTGGAAGAGTCAATGAATCTGAAACATGTTGCCAGAGTCGAAATTGGGCATCCGAATTATTGGATGGTCTGTGGTCTCCCAGGTCTTTAATTTGACCCATACGCAGTTGGTTTAAGGTTTATAAACCCATCTAACTCTATAGATGATATTCACGATCAAGAATAAACTAGAGCCAATTTGGTACCACTTGCCGTATCATCAATCAATGTCTGGTATGCTTACGTACAATTTACATCTACTCTCAACATCAACGGTCGATGTAAATATATGTCTACTGATACCGCATGACCATAATCCATGTCCATAGCAATACTCGTATATCCATATCAACATAACTCCGTTAAGATCTCATATACACATTCCATCACATTCCAATATCCATTGGGTTCATATCCTCAATATTCAACCACCACCCAACCAACATAGTCCCTGCCATGAGTCGGGCTTGGAAGACTACCTTGCTCCAGAATTTTTGCTGATTCAAAATGGGTCTATGTTGGGAAGGCAAAATCCAATTCTTTGACACTTGAAAGCCCAATTCTTTGATACTTGAATCACCATGTTTCACCATGTTTCACCATGTTTCACCATGTTTCACCACGTTTGCAGGTCCCCATGGTCAATCCCCATGTTCCCATGACAGTGAAATCCCCAATGATTTTGGCTACTGAAGTCACCATTTCTGATGGAACCAAGTCTGCCGAGGCCCCCCGCGAGACCTTGGGTGTGATGGAACCATTCCTGGAACGCTAAGTCTTTTTGTTAGATTATGATGTAAATCTGCTACATAAAATTAATAATATATATATATGCTACATATACATATAATTCATTTAATATTTACATGATTAATATGTATAAAGAAACAACTAGTCAAAACCAAGTTGTGACCCAAACTGTGGATCCTTCGTTTCCCGTCTACAAAGCCTGATGCATCGTCTATGTGGGTGCTGTCGCATAAACTCACCAAGTAGTCTTAATGCGGGTCTACTGTATCTACATTTGATATCCCTAAATGTATATGATTATATGTATGATATGATATGTGTATAATATATGTAAAATATATGTACAGTATATGTATAATATGTAAAAACAATGTGTCTAATATATATGATAGTATTATATATATATGATATACGTATGTATAATATATAATATGCATACATATCACATCATTACATATCATCAACCAGGCTTTATTCATCTGGCGCTGGCTGGGTTTGTGTTAGTTGGATGAAATTTACTCTGATTTTACCATTCAAAATCAACTATAAAATGATCCCTGCAAATGGCAAATTGCTTTGAACTTGGCCCATGGATTCATTCCAATTACATCCTAGTTGACAGGTGCCATAACTTGGATTAAGCACACCAAAATAAAAATCAAAATATTCCCTATTGATTCCCCAATCGTAGTGGATTTCCCGTTGGAAAAATAAAAAATCACCGATTCAATCAATCCAGGAGAATTCAGGTGCTACTTAAAACCTGTAGGGATCCTCTCACTGGGCCCACTGTTTGCGGATGATATGGGCGTTTCCATAAATACTGGTACCCCAATAGCTGGATGCTTTATTTCATGGAAAATCCATCTATAATCATCTATATATGGATGATTTGGGGGTACCCCCACGACTCAGGAAACCTCCATATGAAAGTTCCCTTTCATGAGCCACTGCTTGCTGATAAAATTTAGTTCCGCGGCTTGAAGCAGGCACTGAAAGATCAACAGTTTATTTGAAACTACTAATCATTAATCAGTCGCCTCATTTACACACATGGTGGTTTCCAAAAATAGGGGTACCCGGTACCCCCAAATCATCCATTTTAGTAAGATTTTCCATGAGATAAACCATCCATTTTCGGGTACCCCCATTTTAGGAAACCTCCATATGCAATGTCACAGTAATGATGATGGTTAAAACATCGAAGGGGCATCAAGGGTGACACCAAAGGGTGATACTAACCGATGCCATCATATTAAGAATCTATGGCACCCAATGGGGATATTAACATATATTAACCATATTAGGCACCATATTAAGATTCTATGGTGCCATAGATCATTAATATTAACCATCAAGAATGAAACCGACCATGAAAATGGGGATATTCTATTGGAGCATCATACACAATGGGATATATTTTATTGGGGTGTGTCTCAAATGTCGGATGTACCTACATCTTGTATCATCTTGCGGCCTCTGAAATCCATGAGATACTGATAAATCAGTGGATGGAATGGGGCTCTAAACATTGAGACAGCCCACACTTGGATGTTCCATGCTGTTCTCCAAGTCACCTGATTCCCATGGTTCCCATGGGTCGCAGCAAAGGCGACGTGAGGCGCTGAAGCATCATTTTCCGCAGTGGCAGGGCAGCTGACTTTCAGGAAAACTCGAGAGCTACTCAGGAGCCAAGAATTTTGCAGCGATTCGACCAGGACTCTGGGAGGCCCATCTATGGCCATCGTAAGGATCAACCGCATTCTGACATGGGGAGTGAACAATTTCTAACAGTACTTCATTTTGGGGGCACCCTTATTTTGATGGATCCAGGGTTGCCATATGTTGCCATGATTTGCAACTGCCCTGGATCGAGTTCAATGTCTTGAAGTCTGGTGAAGTCTATGGTCAATCCGAAAACTGTTTTGAGGGAAAATCGTTTCGTGATGCACCTACCCTCCAAGCCTCCGTCCAATGGAATGCTTCGATTTCTCCAAATTCCTGGTGTCCTGCTCCGCGTAAACTTCCTTCAAGGACAGCGACCTAGTGACCTACAATTTTCTTGGGAGTCTTGGCTGCCTGCTGCAACACCACATATGCCATGATCAAAACCTGGGATATTCCCTTATGCAGAGATTAAAATGTATCAATGTACCAGCTATTTTCGCTATGGTATGAACAAAAGGAAGCAAGGTTTTTGACAAATAGCCATATTGAAATAATATTGAAACCAAATCTTTTGAATGGTGGGATGGCCAAATTGTCCAAATATAGGTCCTGTCACAATCCCCAAGTATTGTTTGGATGTGACTGGCAGTCAGTATAGCTGCAAAATAAACACTTTCTTGATCACTCGAGGAACGAACCATGGTCAAGTTGACAGATTCATACAATCTCTACAATTCCTGGGAGGTACATCAAAGTAGCCAGGAATCCGCTGCACGTCTGCTGTTTTTCTTCGCTGGGCTGCAGGTTCGCAGTTCGCAGTTCAGCGCGCAAACTATGTTGGCTGATGTCGCAAACCCAATGAGTTAGCTAAAATACAACGCAACTTGTTCATCCTCCAAAAAAAATGTAAAATTCAGGTGAAAGAAAACACCGCCATTCAACGAATTTAAACATTGGGGATGACATGAAATTAAACACATTATTCAGCGGGCCATGGCCCCAGTTTTGGGTTTGCAGACAAACGGACAAGGCATTCCCAAGGCTTCTCTAAGAGAAACTGCGGGAAACAAATGGAAACAGCATCATCAACCAGTGGCAAGGGAGCCAGGTTTTTGTTTGTATTTTTACACCCCAAATCTGGCACAGGACTCAAAAATGCAATTTTCAGTTTGAAAATCATCTTCCAAACTGATTTAGTTGGTTGGTTCCACAGAAAAGGATGCGCAGTACTTTCAATCTCCGCTGACTATGGTGGGTGGTTCAACAAAATCGTTGGCATAGTATAATCCGCCAAAAAAACAAAATTATAGGGTTTGACCAAGTCCACTAGAAAATGAATAGTTCTCCCTCAAAAATTCATTTTTGAGGGTATACCCGCTGTTCAAACACGACCAGTATCGATTTATGTGCTATATATATATAATTATATTTATTTATAGAGATCTATTTATTTCTATGATTATATATATATGTGTGTGATTATATACATCATATCTATTGCTATATCTATAATTGACAATTTATATACCTGTAATTGTCAAAGGAAGTCTAGAAGTCAAACTTCCGACAATATGGACAGATGAAAAAGCAGAGGTGGGAAGAGCCAAAGAAGAGAAGAGAAGAGAAGAGAAGAGAAGAGAAGAGAAGAGAAGAGAAGAGAAGAGAAGAAGAAAGAAGATAAGAGGAGAAAAAGGGTCAGAAGAAAGAAGATGCAGGTGCGCAAAAAGGTAGGAAAGCCGCTAACACTCGGCGGGTCGAAAAAGTAGGCCCGCTGAAGCGGCGGGTGCGGAGCCATCTGGGGAGATGAGAGATGAAAAATTGCACGCCGTTGTGGCGCGAAGCACACTTCGAAGTCAGAATGTACAAAGCAATACAAAACGCCTCAACGTTGGAACACTTTTGGAAGTTGAGATGTCGAAAAAGTGCACGCCGTTGTGGCGCGAAGCGCATGTCGAAGTCAAAATGTACAAAGCACACCACGTTCGGATCACTTTTGGACGTTCAGAGGCAGGCACAAGGGATTCTGCACCTTCCCAAAAGTGAGCCAAACGTGAAGCAGTTCCAAAAATGTTGGCAGGCGTGGGACATTTGAAGAGGATCTGCAAAGATGGATTTCGCGTGGCAGGCGCAGTACAAGAGACACATGAATCAGATATGTTAGGAGGTCCGGGCGCTGATTTCCTGAGAGGGGCTGCATTTTGGAGCAGATCTTCAAGTTTGCTAAGATGATTTTGCGTGACAGGTGCAGCACTTCGTATGACCTGGCATCAATTTTTTGTGGCAGGCGCAGTACTTTAGAAAGGTGGAGTGGAAAAATCGCAAAACGCATTGGTACGAGGCCGTCAGCGCTGCACTCAGCTTTCGATTTTCGAAGGAAGTCTCGCAGAATTGCTTTGTTCTTGATGTTGTCAAATTCAAAAATTGAAGAATTCTCGCAGAATTGCTTCGTTTTGGATGTTGTTCAGTTCAAAAAATGAAGAAGTGTCGCACAATTGCTGCGTTTTCGATGTTGTCAAGTTCAAAAATTGAGGAAGTCTCGCAGAATAGCTTTGTTTTCAAACTTGCAGATAGACAGTTAGATAGATATGATCAGATTAGTTTAATTTGGATTAGGTTAGATTAGGATTAGATTAGATTAGACTAGACAGATAGATAGATTAGACAGAAAGATGGCTATATAGGCAGACAAACAGATAGAGAGATAAACAGACAGACAGATAGATAGACAAAAAACAAATATATAATTACATAGATAGACAGGTAGATAGGCAACTGCAACTACACTACACTACAACTACACCTACACCTACACTATAACTACGACTACAACTTCAAGTACACTTCAACTACAATTGCAACTACAACTGCAGCTTCAACAATTCAACTACAACTACAACTTCAACTACAATTACAATTACACAACACTACAACGACAACTACGACTACAACTACGACTACAACTACGACTACAACCACGACTACATCTACGACTACAACCACGACAAAAACAACAACAACTACTACTAGTACTACTACTACTTCTTCTGCTGCTACTACTACTACCACTACAACTACTTCTTCTTTTGCTACTACTACTACTACTACACTACAACAACAACAACAACTACTACTACTACTACTACTACTGCTACTGCTACTGCTACTACTACTACTACTACAACTACTACTACTACCACTACCTACTACTACTACTACTACTACTACTACTCCTACTACTACTCCTACTACTACTACTACTACTACTACTACTCCTGCTGCTACTACTACTACTTACTACTACTTACTACTACTTACTACTACTTACTACTACTTACTACTACTTACTACTACTTACTACTACTTACTACTACTTACTACTACTTACTACTACTTACTACTACTTACTACTACTTACTACTACTGACTACTACTGACTGCTACTGACTGCTACTGACTGCTACTTACTGCTACTTACTGCTACTTACTGCTACTTACTGCTACTTACTGCTACTTACTGCTACTTACTCCTACTTACTCCTACTTACTCCTACTTACTCCTACTTACTACTACTTACTCCTACTTACTCCTACTTACTCCTACTTACTACTACTTACTACTACTTACTAATACTTACTACTACTTACTACTACTTACTACTACTTACTACTACTTACTACTACTTACTACTACTTACTACTACTTACTACTACTTACTACTACTTACTACTACTTACTACTACTTACTACTACTTACTACTACTTACTACTACTTACTTCTACTTACTACTACTTACTACTACTTACTACTACTTACTACTACTTACTACTACTTACTACTACTAACTACTACTAACTACTACTAACTACTACTAACTACTACTTACTACTACTTACTAACTACTTACTAACTACTTACTAACTACTTACTAACTACTTACTAACTACTTACTAACTACTACTAACTACTACTAACTACTACTAACTACTACTAACTACTACTAACTACTACTAACTACTACTAACTACTACTAACTACTACTAACTACTACTAACTACTACTAACTACTACTAACTACTACTAACTACTACTAACTACTACCAACTACTACTAACTACTACTAACTACTACTAACTACTACTAACTACTACTAACTACTACTAACTACTACTACCTACTACTACCTACTACTACCTACTACTACCTACTACTAACTACTACCTACTACTACCTACTACTACCTACTACTACCTACTACTACCTACTACTACCTACTACTACCTACTACTACCTACTACTACCTACTACTACCTACTACTACTACTCCTACTACTCCTACTACTCCTACTACTCCTACTACTCCTACTACTCCTACTACTCCTACTACTACGTCTACTACTACTACTACGTCTACTACTACTACTACTACTACTACTACTACTACTACTACTACTACTACTACTACTACTACTACTACTACTACTACTACTACTACTTACTACTACTACTACTACTACTATTACTACTACTACTACTACTACTACTTCTGCTGCTGCTGCTACTACTACTACTGCTACTGCTACTGCTACTGCTACTACTACTACTACAACTACTACTACTACCACTACCTACTACTACTACTACTACTACTACTACTCCTACTCCTACTACTACTACTACTACTACAACTACAACTACAACTACATTACAACAACAACTACAACTACTACTGCTACTGCTACTACTGCTACTACTGCTACTACTTCTACTACTACTACTGCTACTACTACTACTACCTACTACTACCTACTACTACTACTCCTACTACTCCTACTACTCCTACTACTCCTACTACTCCTACTACTCCTACTACTCCTACTAGTCCTACTACTCCTACTACTACGTCTACTCCTACTACTACGTCTACTACTACTACTACTACTACAACTACAACTACAACTACAACTACATTACAACAACAACTACAACTACTACTGCTACTGCTACTACTGCTACTACTGCTACTACTTCTACTACTACTACTACTGCTACTACTACTACTACTACTATTAAAACTACTACTATTACTACTACTACTACTACTACTATTACTACTACTACTACTACTACTTCTGCTGCTGCTACTACTACTACTACTGCTACTGCTACTGCTACTGCTACTACTACTACTACTACAACTACTACTACTACCACTACCTACTACTACTACTACTACTACTACTACTACTACTCCCACTCCTACTCCTACTACTACTACTACTACTACCACTACCACTACTACTACTACTACTACTACTACTACTACTACTACTACTACTACTACTACTACTACTACTACTAGCTACTAACTACTAACTACTAACTACTAACTACTAACTACTAACTACTAACTACTAACTACTAACTACTAACTACTAACTACTAACTACTAACTACTAACTACTAACTACTAACTACTAACTACTGACTACTACTGACTACTACTGACTACTACTGACTACTACTGACTAACTACTGACTAACTACTACTAACTACTACTAACTACTACTAACTACTACTAACTACTACTAACTACTACTAACTACTACTAACTACTACTAACTACTACTAACTACTAACAACTACTAACTACGACTAACTACGACTAACTACTACTAACTACTACTAACTACTACTAACTACTCCTAACTACTACTAACTAGCTAATACTCTACTAAAGGGCGTACTACTTGGGGAAGGCATGAGGCGTAGGGGCGTGAAACTTACTACTAACGGTGCGCGTACTAACGTCCACTAACTCCTCAAGCGTACTAACTACAATCTGATAAACCTACTAACGACCTAACGTTACTGAACGGGACTACTACTACTACTACTACTACTAACTACTACTACTAACTACTACTGCTAACTACTACTGCTAACTACTACTGCTAACTACTACTAACTAACTACTACTAACTACTGCTAACTACTGCTAACTACTACTAACTACTACTAACTACTACTAACTACTACTAACTACTACTAACTACTACTAACTACTACTAACTACTACTAACTACTACTAACTACTAGTAACTACTAGTAACTACTAGTAACTACTAGTAACTACTAGTAACTACTAGTAACTACTAGTAACTACTAGTAACTACTAGTAACTACTAGTAACTACTACTAACTACTACTAACTACTACTAACTACTACTAACTACTACTAACTACTACTAACTACTACTAACTACTACTAACTACTACTAACTACTACTAACTACTACTAAC